CTCCCCGCCCCCCGCGGGCCGGTCCCGGGAGCAGCGCCGCGCGGCCTCCGCCGGGCCGGTCTGTCCTCCGAGCGCGGCGAGGCCGCTCGGTCCCTGCCGCGGGCGGGCGAGAGGGCGCCTCCGCTGAGCCGCCCGCCTGGCGGTGGCCAGAAGCAGGTGCGCTCATGTGCCCCGAGGCGGTCCGTCCCGCTCCTTCGGGGCCATTGTTCGTGCATTATAACGCCTGTGCCGCACGTTCAGTGGACGATATTTTTCCGTTTCTACCCAGAAGGGACGCAGGATTGGTCGCAGTCAAAAACGTTTACTTATGTAAAATTAATTAAATTGCCACAAGTAATCTGGTCCTTATTAAACTGAGCATTCGTAATCTAAGGTGCGTGTCGGGAGCTGCTGAGATCTTTTCATGATGCCAGCGGTTCCCGCCTCCGTGGCGTGCAGAAACTGAACCGGCCTCTTTTGCCGTCTTCCAGAGCTGTAGCTGCGCTGCTGGGTCTGAGGATGTGAGGCTGCTTCCGTCTCAGCCACGCGAAAGGAGATGGAGGAGGAGAGCGCTCCGTTGCCAGCGGAGAGGCCGGGGGCTTCGGCGGCCGATTCTCCAGCCATCAGCCGGCGGATATCAGTCAGCGAGTTCTCTTGCCACTGCTGCTACGATATTCTCATCCACCCCACCACCTTGAACTGCGGGCACAGCTTTTGTCGGCACTGCCTGGCATTATGGTGGATGTCTTCCAAGAAGAACGAGTGCCCAGAGTGCAGGGAGAAGTGGGAAGGGTTCCCAAAGGTCAACATCCTCCTCAGGTGACCGTTGCCCTGCCTGCTTTGGCCTTCCTGGTTTGCTGTCTTCCGGACAGTTGGGGCTGCTGGAGGCCAGCGGGTTGGGGAAGGCGAGCTGCCTGAGGCCTTGAGATGTAGGGCTTGCTTTCTCCTCTCTGGCCAGGAGCCTTCATGCCTCTCCACTTGCGCCTTTGGCTGCGCCGGGTATGTCAGCAGTGAGTGACTGCAAGGTGTCCTTTGGCCTTGTTGCCTGTGCTCTTTGATCAGGGCGTGGCCTTGGTAGTCAGCTTGCGTGACATTGTACCGCTTCCCCCAAGGGCAGACGGGTTCTCCTCCTCCAGCTCACTGCAAGGTGGGCAGGGCCGAGCCAGAATTACTGGGCAGGATCACCAATGACTTCCTGTTGGAGGATTTGAGCAGGGCTGAATCAGGTGGATGCTCTGGACTTGTCTCTCGCTGCAACTTGGAAAACGCTTCTCCAGAAATCGACGAGGTGGCGCATCTTGAGGGTGCAGCGTGTGCAAGAAGTCGGCTAAAGTGGTTCTTCCCCTTCCAGGAATGCTGTTGAAAAGCTGTTCCCGGTCGCCGTCGAGCAGCGCAAGGACGACATCCTGCAAAACCACGAGGCAACGCGGAGTCTTGCTGCTTTTCAGAAGTACGGGAGTGACCAGCCCGCAGCAGCCCCCAGTGCAGGCAGGATGAATGCTCCAGCAGGAGGCTTCTTCTCCGGTGTCCTCACTGCGTTGACTTGTGTGGCGGTACGGCTCTCCGAGGACATTTTTCGCGAGCACTGTGCTGTGGCCACGACACGGGAGGAGGCTTTGCAGGGTGCAGTCTCAGGCAGCGGCGCTACGGAGGAATCAGCAGGCTCTCTGGGAGACGCTGAGCTTCCAGTGGGGTTTTCTTCCTGCCTGAATGGAAGCAAGGAAGGGCAGTTGGCTGCCGGGCCCAGCTCCAGTGAGCTCCGCCTGCCTGCGGCTGCTGCTTTCTCTTTGGACTGGTGGGAGTGAGGCTGAAAAGGGGTGGCTCTGGCTCGCTGTCCTCTCTTGCAGCCTTATCCCAGAGCACCAGCCAAATGCGGCTTATTGAAAGAAAACGTTAAGAATCACACATCACCTTCAGCTATAATTTAACGTTGCTTGCACCATACACTGATAAAATTGCTTGTCTAGATCAGCCCTTGAACATCATGCTTCCTTGTTGTTGCTTTGAGCACCGCCAGCCCCACCCCCCACCCCTCATAGATGCTCTCGATTGATCTCTTAGGTGGTTTTGCTGGGCTATCATTGGAGTAGCCGGGAGTCAGAGGATGATCTCCTGGTCCACAAGCCAGTCACCAAATGGACCGCAGAGGAGGTGGTTCATTGGCTGGGACAGCTGGGACCATGGACTGCCCTGTACAAGGAGAGGTTCTTGCAGGAGAGGGTGAATGGAAGGTGAGCAGGAACCCGCTGGCAATGCTCAGGAAGGATCCTTGGCTTGAATGCAGAGCCTTGCCTGTGGAAGGCTTTCTCCAGGGCTATGCAGGTTGGGGCAGAAGTGTTTGTGTTCAAAGTAAGCTTCCATTCATGGCTTGCTTGTGAGTCATAGACCATTGGCTGCCTTGCCAGGAATTTCTGCTCCTTTTAGAGCAGGCAGAAATTCTGCTTCTTTTAGAGCCCGCTTTGCTCTTTGTGAAAATCTGTGGCTGCTTAAGCCTGGATGCTAGACGTCCTAAAGGAGACTTTTGGGTTTTGTAGCATTGGAGCGGGCTGCAGGTGAACTGTTAATGTCTTGCAGGCTGCTTCTGACGCTGACTGATGAAGAAATCGCAAAGGCTCCTTACCAGGTGGAGAACAGCAGCCACAGGAAAGCCATTATGATGGAGCTTGAGAGGGTGAAGATGCTGGGGGTTAAGCCACCACAAAACCTTTGGGAATACAAAGTGAGTGCATGCTGCAGAGGCACGCCTCTGCCATGGCAGCAAGCGGGCACTGTTGTTGCCTCTCTTTGCCACTCAAAATGTTCTGCCTCTGATCCAGGGGAACAAAGCAGAAGGCCAACGGCGCTGGCCTCTTCACCTTCCTGGCTGATAGGATTTGGATTCAGGGTCTTTTTCCACATCGTGTGTCACATGCCTAGCAAGTGGCATCGTGCCCGGCAGACCCCGGCAGGTGGTGGAGCAAAGCATCTTCCTTGGCCATTTTGCCCCATGGATTTTCGTTCCCTTGCAGGCGGTGCATCCTGGAAAGTCGCTGTTCCTGCTGTACGCCCTGAAAAGCTCCCCTCGGCTCACGATGCTGTATTTGTACCTGTCAGATTACAGCAATACCTTCCTGCCCTTCATCCACACTGTCTGCCCAGTGCAGGAGGAAGAGGGGCTTGAAGAGGTTATTGCAAAGCTGCACGTAAGTGTGGCGTCCCAGATGGTTGGGAATCCGACTTGGGGGTGCCCTGGGATGGGGGGAGGTGGGGATGAGATCAAGGACCTCGAGACCACAAACAGCTGTTTCTCGGGGAGGGTAGCGCTGGAATAGCCTCCCAAATTAGTACTTCTAAGGTCTGCTTAAAGTGAATCTTCCACTCCCCTTGCTTGTTTCAAGAAGACTTCAATAGTTGTTTCCCAAATGTGAAAATACGATGAGGCAAAATTCCAGAGGTTCCACTGCCAAGAGATGTTGCTTGGACACTCGCAGATGACCAGGAACTGCAGCTTTAAATCCCTGTTTGGACCTGAGAAGATGCTTTAGGGCCAGTTGCTAGCAGGGAAACGTCAACGTCTTCTAGCCTGGCTGTTGGCGCCCTTCGTTTTTCACCCTGCTTTGCTCTTTGTGAAGCGCGTGGGCCGTGCTCCTACCCCAGCCAGGCGGCAGAGGATGGCTCTGCCCCCGGCTTTTGAGGAAAAGCTGCTGACGTGGTTCAGAGCGCTCAAGAATGACGGAGGGGTTGTGAGGGCAGCTGGCAGCTAGTGTTCTGTCTCTGCAGGACTACAAGGACCTGGTGTGGAAGCAGTGGCGGGAATTCCTGGTGAAGTTTGCTTTCTTGCCATATCAGCTGATTGCAGAGTTTGCTTGGGACTGGCTGGAGATCCATTACTGGACCTCCCGCTTCATCATTGTGAACGCCATGCTGCTGTCCGTGCTGGAGCTCTTCTCCTTCTGGAGGCTGTGGTCGAGGCGGGAGCTGAAGTGAGTCCTGGCCTCAGAGGGCTGCCCCAAACCCTGCTCAGGCAGCCAGGCTTATCGACGGGGGAGGGGGCTTAATGACCTTTTTTGGGCTACGCAAGTGGCCGCAATTACATTTACCCATCTCCAGGGAAGGCTTTTGCCGCTCTCCCTGCTCTGCCACAGAGGGACCCCAGGGGCCCCGTGCCGGTCACTTGGAAGCCGGCCATTTTTATGCTTTGCCCTTTGCAGAAGCTGAGCACTGCTGGTGTGTGTCCCATCCCCCCTCCCCTTTTTGGGCTGTGTGTTTCTGCTGCTTGCTTCTTTTTCAAGCTCATTTCAACTGCCCTTTCAGCGTTAGGATGGCGCTTGGCATGCCTGGAATGGGTTGCAAGGACAAACGCGTCCAGGGTCTGCAGAAGAGCCAGGATTTTGTTGGGGTAAATCTAAAGGCTGCCAAGCCCAAATATTAAATCTCCTCTCTTCTCTCTCTTCCTCCACCTCCTGCCCTCCTCCTCCACTTTTCAGGAGAATTCCTTACCGGATGTGGAGCCATTTCTGGAAAGTGTCAACCCAGGGATTTCTGATGGCCATTTTCTGGCCAGTTATTCCCCAGTTTGCCTGCAACTGCCTCTTTTACTGGGCTTTGTACTTCAACCCAATCATTAACATTGACCTCGTAGTGAAGGAAGTCCGTTGGCTGGAAACCCAAGTCCTGTGATGCGGACGGTCCTGGCTCTGGACTCGGCATTGTGGACCGCGCCACCATGTGGTGGCAGGAATCTGTAGGCTTTCCTCTTTCTGCACTTCTGACTCAAGCTAATCCCCCCCCCAGGTAATTCGACCGTCTAGCTTTGCAGCTCTTCACACACACACACCTTTCTTTTCAGGAGGAAGACATAGGGGAGGCACTTTTTCTTGGGGCTGAGAAGGCGTAATCTCAGCATAATCAGAAATCTCGCTTTGAGCTCACTGAAGCCGGGGGTTGTAAGCCATGTTCAGTCTCAGTAAGCCTAACTATGGTGCTTGACGAAATGCCATGTGGGTATTTTTTGTTTTGGTCTTAGTGGTGGAAAGAGGCTTCCATTGAAGCAGTGCCAGGCGGAAGATACACCCTGCTCTTAAAAGGGGCTGCCGGTGTGGCTTGGCTCTCCCTGCGCTTCTAAGAGGTTTGATGACATTTCCCTGGCTTTCGGTAGTCGACTTGTCAGCCATAATCCTTTTTTTGAAAAAGGGTGCCTTGCATGTAAATATGTGAATTGCTTTCTGTGTGTGTCTGAATGTTCCCTATGTTGCCATGCGTTAAATTTCTGGTGAAACCAAGATGGTCTAAAGGTGATGTCCCTATAAATGAAATTTGACTCTGCATTTCTATCAATACGATCTTTAAATTTGCATAGAACATTTTTTACAAATTAAATAATGTTTTTCTAAAAGTGATAGTTATTTTTTTCACCCAGTGTTCCCTCCTTCCCTTTCTTTTTTTAAATTGTGAGGTAGGCTGGGCTGAAGATGGTGGGCGGCCACAGCTCTGCTGCAGTTTTGTGGCTGCCTGGCATCCGTGAATTTCCAGGAGATTCGGCTGTGATGGGAGGAGTTGAACCTTGCTATATTTGTTCATCCAGTTCTGTCCTATGGCCTCCCTTGCTATGCTACCCTGGGGGCTCTTTCTTTCTTTCTTTAATGGTATGTGGGAGAGACCTTGGGACCTTGACTTTCAGACTTGCGAGATTCTGTCAACGTAGCTTTACGATAAAGTAGAAGTAGCTCGTCTGGCCGTGTTTCCCGTCCAGCCTACCTCACAGGGCTGACATCAATCTTGCAAAAGTACACTTCTCCCCCATCTCCTTTATAGCCCAGTAAACTAGGGAGGGTCTCTTCTGACCCTCTTGCCCTGCCCACATTCCTGCTGCGGGCTCAGCTGCCTTTTATCTGACCCTTCCCATGGCAGTGTCTCTTGGCCAGGTCTCCCAGGGTCGTTCCCACATACCATTACACTTTCTTTAATGCCACGTTTTGCATCCCCCAAGTGAGCTGGGTTTGCACTGGGCGACATCCGGGGAATGAGGCCCAAGGGGCGCCTGCAGACTGTCCCCATGCTGAGCCCCAGCGGCGGGACAGGGCTGGGCCATCCGAGGGGAAGCAGCAGCTCAGGTCTGGAATCGAAAGGCACGGCACGCAGAGAGGCAGAGCGAGGACAGTGTTAGTCGTCTCGGCAGGCAGGGCTCTTCTTTCCACACAGTGTGTCTGGCCAGAACAAATACGTCACGTTGTAGGGGGCCTTGGCCAGGCACTTGGCTGCATCGCGGTCACATTCACAAGCCATCTTTTGGCACTTGTCTTCGATGTCATCTGCAAGAGGGAAAGAGGCCAAGAAGCAGTGAAGCTGCGCTTTGAAAGCCCCGTGGGGAGTCACCACGCAATGCTTCAGAAGCGCAGCTTTCCAAGCATGTTGGATGTGGTGGCCGGAAGACCAGAGATCCCGGCCCTGTGGAGGCCGCTTTTCTCCAGGTGAGTGAGCGGAACCGGGTGGCAGCCAGAACTCACCGCACTTGGCCTCGCTGTCCTCGCACTCCCAGGTGTACCTCTGCGTCTTGGGGGCACAGTTCTCCGCCTCGGCCTTTCCATAGCAACAGTCGTGCTTAAAGCAGCACCTGGCAGAACCAGAAGAGACCGACTTGGCAGGCAGAGCCGGGCCAGCCCGCCCCCCTCCCACCGCCCGGCCTGCCGACCTGCCGGAGGAGCAGGCCCCAGGCGTGGGGGGTGCCACTTACTCCAGTAGGTAACCGTGCCTACCCAGGGGTGGGTGGATGGTTTTTATATCTGTCTAAACTACAGTGTGTGGCAGAGACACTTGCAGAGAATTCCTGCTGCTTGTTTTAAACCACTGTGGGGGGCTGTGGGGGCTGCAGTCCTTCGAAGGGGGTGGTTCTCTTACGCATTTGACCTGCTCTCCGTTGCTCGTTTGCTCACCCGAAATGGCTTCTGGGCAGAGTGCAGGACGGCTGCTTCCCCAGTTTCCCAGTGCTGTTGCCTTCAACTTCATTTTAATCGCCCCAAACTGTCCCAAATAATTTATACACTGAGCTGGGTTCAGGGCAAGTGATAGGAACCAGTTAGGAAGATTCTCCAGGCAGCTGGCCCAGAAGGGAGCATCCAGATCTGTGCGAGGGGATGGTGCCGTGGCAGCCCAGTTGAGGTGGAGCCAGCCCTGTGCCTCTAAAAACACCCAAGAAGCTGGGCAGCTGGCCCAGATCAGCCAGGATGTGGGGCAAAACATGAGCCAAGGAAAACATGTTTCATGGCCAGAAATGGATGCGTCCCTTCCAGCCACGCTGGAGCTCCACCACCTAGGCAAGAATCTCATTCTGCCAGACCAGCGGAAGCCACAGAGTGTTTGCTTCCAATTGCTTAAAATACAGTAGAGCTAAGTTATATTTTGGGTTTAGTTTATAGCGATGGGAGGATGCGGTTTCTTTATATATAAGGAGGGTGGCTTGGCATCCCCGAGCTTTCTGCAGGCAGGCGTGCCTTCCGCTTCCACGTCTGCACATTTGGATACAGGTGCGCGCTCAGCCGTCTTCCCAGAATCCCTCCAGCCTACGCGCACTCTTAAAAAAAAAGACTGCAGATTCGCAGTATCTTAAAAGCAAAGGCATTTGGCAGTTTAAGCTTTTTGATGCATCTTGAAAAGAAGAAAAAGAAAAGAAACAAGGGATTCCAAAGCCGAGATGGAGATCAGAGGGAGTTTGCCTTCGTGCCCAGCAGGAACCCTCCACCTGGGGCATGAGGCCCATCTTGTTCAGCTTGACTGACTTACCAGTCGACTTGATCCGTGGGCCAGCCACTCCCTCCCCAGCCGCAGTAGCACCCATAGCGTATGTAGGCGAAGGGAGTCCGCCCTGTGGTGCAATGGATCACCCCAGCCAGCTGGAGGATTCCTCTGCGGTGCCGGGAAGGGACATTTCCCAAAGGATGGCCTGCAGTTAGGGGAGGAGGAAAACATGGGCATCAGAAGTTGCAGCTTTGGGCGCAAAAGGAGGGTTTCCTGCCCGTTATCTCCTGCGATTCCCAGATGACTCTGCTCTTGGTTAAAGGGGCGGGGGAATTCCAATAAAGTTGCTCAGTGGCTCACAGCACCCAACTATTCTCTTATGGGGATGAATCTCAGGAAGACAAGGTGGAGGGAAGCACCCTTTGCTCAAAATAATTTACCAACAGAAATTACTTCCCCATTACTACCTGCCATCCACAAATTACTTCCCCATTACTACCCGCCATCCACAAGGAGCCATGGTTCGCCAGAGTGCCAAGCTCGTGCCAGAAACCCACAGCACCCAAAAATCCGAGCAATGCTCTCATGGGGGCGGGGGGGAGAGGGGAATCCATGATGGTAAAGCTTGAATCTGTCCCCTGCAAGGCCGACTCATGGGTATTATGGCCAATCAAGCAGTGGGCGAATGTCTCTTGGATCCAAAAGCCAGCTGTTCCTCACGTGTTGGGCAAGACCTTTTGACAAAAAGAAACCACTGCTGGAAGCCAGGCAGTCCTGAGTCAGAACTGGTGCTCTGCAGGCAGATCATGGGGAGGGGGCGGAGGGGGGCATGGCCACGTCCCTGCGCCTCTTGCAGCTTTCAGTGGGTTGTGAGCGATCTTCCTTGGTATGACTTCCTTTTAAAGCTGATTCAGTTGAAAGGAAAGGCAGAGGGAAGGGGGCTCTTCACACCAAGACTTCAGGAGAGTCTCCAATTAATGGAGGTGCCCCCAAGCAGACCTCCCCTTTGATCCCCCCAGGGAGACACTTCTCCAGCAGCAGCAGCAGCAGCAGCAGCCGGTGTCCCATGGCAGACGGCAAGGGCTGCTTCCAAGATGAGCTGCTGTGGTTCAAGGCAGAAGGTCGGAAGCCCCCACTGGACAGGTCTCACTTTCCTTTGCCACCAGCCACCCTGCTGGGTGCTTCGGAAGCTCTAACAGCCCCTGCCTTTTCCCATCTGCGTCTGTTTGCTTTACAGCATTAGGTAAATAGTAAAAAACGCCCAGCCACCTCCTTGCTGAGGCAAGGCGCGGTCTGCAACAGGGTCAAGGGTGCCAGAGAAACAGAGCCATGCCCTTGAAGACTCCAGTCTCCCTGGCCAGCACCACTTGGCAAATGACCTTCAGGCCCAAAGCCTCCCTCATGGCTGGCTTATCCCAGACTCTGAGCCGAGAGACCCTCCGGCTCTCCAGGCAACCCTGAGCAGCCACTCAGGGCAGATTTCAAAGGGATCTTTCAGCCTCAGGGTAGGGGGAGATGCTTCTCCTGAAGCAGCATGAGCCTCCTTGCCATCCTGGATCTGCTGGTCGTGATCCAGAGCAGGTGCTATGATGCAAGGGATGTGGGAACGGCCTTGGGAGACTGGGCCAAGAGATGCAGCCAATGGTCAGATAAAGGCAACGTAGCCTGCAGCAGGAATGTGGGCAGGGCAAGAGGGTCAGAAGGGGCCCTCCCTAGTTTCTTAGGCTGTAAAGAACAGTGTGGGGGGAGAGAAATGTACTTTTTTAAACAGAACAGTAACCTTACAATAAAGTAGAAGTAGCTCATCTGACATCAATCTTGCAAGTTTCCTGCTTCTTTATCAGGGTGGGTGGGGGGACAGCAGGCCCACCTCAGCTCAGAGATTGAAGGCAGGAACCCCAATACCTCAAATGACACCATTCCATCAAAAAAGGAGAGCCCGAGGTGATCCTGCTAGCACCCCTTCCTCCAATATGCCCCTTAAAAAGCAGCAGAGTCCCTTTCTCCAGCCTCTGGTTGGACAGCTGTTATGCTGTGCCCAGAATTTTGGGGGGTGGCCCCCCCCCCCCCCCCCGATTTATGTGGACGGTGACATCTGCCTGCCGCTTCCAGTTCCTTCTGCTTGGCTAAGCCGGATCCAGGAGGATCAGTTTGGAACAGGCAACCTGGCACCCTCCAGATGTTCTCGATTATTAACCCCACAATCATCACTGGCTACTCTTTGGTGTCGTGCTTAAGGCACCAGGCTAGAAACGGGGAGACTCTGAGTTCCAGTCCTGCCTTAGGCATGAAGCCAGCTAGGTGACTTTGGGCCCCTCACTCTCTCTCAGGCCTAGGAAGGAGGCAAGGGCAAACCACTTCTGAAATCTTGCCAGGAAAACTGCGGGGACTTGTCTGGGCAGTCGCCAGGAGTCAAAAGCTGACTGGAAGGCACCAAAAACCCCCAACAACCTTCTAACCTAGTTAGCGAATAAACCCACACTCACTCTGGGTTCACCCAACGTATTGGCTCCCGCAACCCAACGTCCCTTGCTAGCGCCGCCGCCCAACTCGCCGGTCCGCACCAGCC